TGTTGTCTGTATTGTTAGACGTACGTGCTGACAGGTATTTTGAAATAAATGACCAAAAATAATTGAAACTCGTGATTATATTGTCATTTCTGCATATTTTATTTGTCAAATTCTAAAATATTGTGTGCAGAATTTTTATTTTTTGGCGCAGAATTCCCCCAGGAGTAATGTATATAAAGGGATCCTTTGTGTCATTTCCAGTTTCAAATAGTGTGTACCTGAAGCAGATGCCAATGGTTTTCATTTCCAGTGAGGCTAAGTTCTGGGAACCAAAGGCCAATTGACATGAGAGAGAGAGGAGGGAGAGGGTATGGAAGTGGAGGGGTATATAAGTAAGTGAGATAATCTATAACAGAGGCTCATTTGGGAAATGAGTGAGGTTAAAAGTGGACTTTTGAACACTGCCACAGGGACAGAATCAGCAGGAGTCTGTCTTAAGCAAACCTGCAAGTGGGAGGTACCCCCCCGCCCCCGTTTTTGTAATCAAATGACCATTTGAAGTTGGCAAGAAATAAGTTTTCAGGCAGGCTCTCAACTTAATGAGAATGAAGAGAATACGTGCTCTGAACTGTTGTGAAGAATTCTACAGCCCCATCCTGTGTGGTGAGATAATTGAACATAAGAATGGCCACACTGGGTCAGACCAATGGTCTATCTAACCCAGTATCCTGTCTTCTGACAGTGGCCAATGCCAGGTGCTTCAGAGGGAATGAACAGAACATGCAATCATTGAGTGATCCATCTCCTGTCATCCACACCCAGCTTCTGGCAGTTAGAAGCTAACTGAGGCTAATTGAGTATAAATGCATAAAGCAACCCCATTTCTGTGAAGCTCAGGGTGCTGTGCATAAACTCATAATTAACCAAATTAAAAACTTGGGAGAAGGAGGGAATTATAATTCTTAGCAGTGCTATAATTCTGTCATAGTGCTTTATACATATGAAGTGTTGTATAAGCCTTTAACTAATTAGATTGTAAACTGTCTGGGACAGAGATTGTATCTATGTGTTTCCATAATGCCTGTGACAGTGGGGCCCTAATCTTGATTGGGACCTCTAGGTCCTATTGCAGTGCAAAACAATAACATCTGAGGGCTAACACTGCTGCTGGTAAAGAGAGAAGTTTGCAGGTGGTGAAGAGGTACAGATCAAGAAGAATGTCAAAGAAGGAGTAAGTCTGACACCCCAGGGGTTCACCACAGCAATGGTCAAACTGCCAGCCAACCCAAGGTGCAACAGTGACAGTAGGGTGCGGACAGGATCGAGGAGGTAATAAGGGAGGAGGGGCCAGTCTCTGATTTCCTGTTTCACAAGATGAAAAGGTCCCTTCCTAGCTAATTAAAAGAAATGCATGCACTGTACACATTCTTATTGGCTTGTAGTCTAGTGATTTCTTTTTCTGTGATCAAAGAAGAAAAAAACATTCTAGTAGGGTTCTTTTCAGGTGCTTTTGGGAATGGGCAAAAAGGGCTGAAACGCCATAGTGGATTCTCTTCTTAGTAAAGCGAATTGAGTCAATAGAAACTGAACTCTGAACACTCATGTATTTTTTGATTAATTTTAACTGAGTTGACTCGAAGCACAGGCTTTTTTTGAATCTATACTAACTAGTTCAGGGATTGGACTAAAGTCACAGAGGTACCAAGATTTACAATTATATATCAAGAAACACTGGCTCTGTGAAGTTTTCCTTTGCAATTAGCATCTGTTATAGAAAGAGGAAGGAAGATGGTCTTGTGACTAAGGCACTGGACTGGGACTTGAGAAATCTAGGTTCAGTGCTATGGTCTACCCTAGATTTCTTGGGGGATGATGTGAAAGTCACTTAATCTCTGTGCCACTGATCCCTCCATCTATAAAATAGGGCTAATGCTTTATTTCTCCCTTCCTTTAGTAGTTTAGTTCCCGTCACGAAGAGCTCTGCAATCTAATGTCTTCCTATGTGTTTGTATCATAGTTTTATCAGCTGCATTAGACTCTTTTCAGCATTAATATTTTTAGACTCCAACACATTGAAACCAAAGTAATAAGTGGACTGCAGAGAAATGTTTGAGCCTTGAAATTTTATTATCTTGTTTGCATCAACCATTAATTCCTTTCAGCACCAGTAAAGAAAAAAGCTATTTTCCCCCCAAAATATCTCGTTTTTATCAGGTGTAAGACTGTGGTTTTCTTACAGGCAAAGAAAACAATGAACATGTTTGGTTTCTTGTTTTTTATACATTTATAACAAAATGTCAGGTGTGTGCTTACCATATAAAAACATTAGGTCCCAGAAGGATACAATACCAAAAAAAAAAAATCATTGAAATAAAAAAGTCATTTTTATATTGGGTTTCTAAACCTCGGCATTAATACAATATTTAAAAAACATCAAGATTAATAGTCATATTTAAAACAAGATGATTATGGACAATCTTAATACCTATTTTTAGTGACCCTCGTCGTGATGGAGGAGAGCCAGGAATTCTTCAACACTCTTGACTCCTATGCGTTCCTCTCCTTTCATCCCTCTTGACCGAGCATGAGAGGGGGAAAATAATTTTCTGAGCTGGGATGAACTCAGGCCAACCAAAAGTGGCCTGGGAGCTGCTCATATTAACCTGAGGACAGTCAGATCTGTTTAATCTGAATCACTGGACAAGTGCCATTTAAAAAAAAAACCAACTTTTTAAAGGAAAATAATTGCAGGTCCCATAGTAAAACTTCATGCTTTAGCCAACAGGTAGGAGTCAGGGCCTGGCTGCGTCAGCTGCTGGGACAAGACATTGCAGTGAGGTGTAAAAAAGAATTTTTATTCGGCAACATCCTCTCCTCAAAGTGACCTCAGTTCAGCAGGATGCAGAGTACCTGCAACTCTTCTTGAAGCCAATATTGAGTACAATTCACCTTTTATTGAGCAACCCATTTTTGTTGGTAGCTTGAATGGTTGCTTAAGTTGAGTCTAACTGCATGCTAAGCCAACTCCATCAGAATACATTAGCCAAAATATAACTCTCTTAAGTACAACATTACACTATGTGGAATTCAGCCATGATGTCACAAGCACTCTTCCTCAGTGCTTGATGCAGGCTGTAGCATGGGATCTCATTTGATTGTATATAGTCCAGTGATGCCTTTCAGAGCCCCAGGCCAGCAAACAAATAATGCACAGATTAACCAGATTTGAATGAGCCCAGAAAGGCTAAAGCCTGTTCTTTTGGGCACCTAACACCCTTAGGCCTTTTTAAAAATGCTATCCTTAGTTTATACTTTATTTAAGGAACATTCTCCTGCTCTTGTAAAATGAGAATTGAGTGTAACAAAAGTAGAAGCTTCAGGGCATGTGTGTATATTATGTGATACTTCAGCTAAAATGTCCATAGTCATCCCATAAAGAACTGGCACTGATGTTCAATGATGTTACATTATTAAACACAAAGAAGTATTATCACCCACTCTTTGGAGAGACCTGAAGTTCCTATGCCTAATAGGGTGAGTAGCTGTTGAAAGTTTAACTCAAACCCTTTGTAAATTATATATTGCTAAGGGGGCTAGTCACGCTGTCCTTAATCAGGCTGGAATTTATTTTAGAGGAACTGCTTGCGTCTTAATTTCCTGTAGTAGTTATTTTATTTAAAAAAAAAAAAAAAAAAAGGGAAAATGAAAATATCCCATCACATGACCTGGGTTCTAAGGCTTTTTTGGATGGATATTCTGCCAATAGAGTGGCTGTCTGAGTGGTTCTTTTTGAGTCAGCGTGGAGAATACGGTTTCTGTTCCTCTTTCACGTGGTGCACTGTTCTCTGGAGTGCAAAGTGTGTGTTCTACAATCTTCTAAATGCATTTTCTAAATCCCTCAAGTGTATCAAGGCATCAGAAGGCACAGGATCGATGCAATAAAGCAAAGAGCATTTGTACAATGGAGTCACAATACTGTACCTCCCAGCATCATCCTCTTGCAAAGTTAGATCCATAAGATTAGTAACAACTAACTATATTGGTTAGTGGTGTATTTTGTTTTGTTTTAAATAGAGACTGTTTTACAACTATCCATTTATCAACCATTAAAAACAGAGAGCACTGAAAAATTAAGAACATCAAAATCTAAGAAACTGCTTACTTCAAAATTGAAAAGATCTCTCATCCTATCTCAAAAGGGCAAGGGAAGTGCCTGTGTTTTAGAGTCAGCATGACTTCACAGAACTAAACAAAGTAATTTAGACATTAGTTTTTACTGTAAATAGCGTAACATTGTTTGGCAGTAATTGTTTGTTTACATCCCACATTGTGTCAATAAATTCAGCAACTGTAACTGATACTCAGTGAATTTGATATCAAACTAATTTACATTGTTAGGAAAGCTATGAAAAATACTGTACCTCAGATTTAGTTCTACTACTGATAGCAATATGGCAGCATAGCTGCTGGGCAGTACACAAATTGCTATTGGTACTGTTTTTTTTTTTTTTTTAAAAAGGTTAATAAAATACAAGCAAGATAGAAAATAGGATTACAAGCATTTTTTCAAAGTCGTTCTGAGTTAACTGCAGAGCTAAGAAACCAGGAAACTGTGCACGCGCACTCTGTGTATACAGAGAAAGCTACAGAGGGAAATAAGTAGTGCATTCGGCTTCTACCTCTTGGCACATGGTTTCAGTTCTTGTTTAGACCAAAAGGGGTGCTAAATTTGGTCTCTTTCTAGTCTCCATTTGTTATCTGTCACAAACCCCCATGCAGTTTGGCACAATTCAGTTGTGAGAGGCAGAATGTGTTCAAGGGAGCCCTGGACTGGAAAATGAGGGATGTGATGGGTCAAGATTGAGGTGCAATGGCAGAGCTGTGTGAGGGGAAAACTTGCTAGCACCTGCCTGGCTCTAGCCAGTGAGATCTGTCTCTTTCATTAACACTAAGGGCTTCTCTGCATGCAGAGTGACACAGGTTTAACTAAGTGTTTGGTTTTTAAATTTAGGTAGTTAAACTGATGCAAGAATCTGCATGGACTTGTTTCTGTTTTATTTCAGTTTAAGTCTATAGCAGGTTTAAACTAAAGCACAATAAGTGTTCACAGAGATGTTTGTATCAGGTTGGCTAAAAATTGTTTGTTTAAACTGGTGCATGTTTGGGCCCAGATGCGATGTGAATTCAATACTTATGGTAGAGAATGGGGAAAACATTGTAAAAATGGAACAAGATTAGGGAGGAATGGCTTGGATTAAAGAGCAACAGGTAATTAGCAGATTGTGTGGGCCCAGAGGTATCCTTTTGAGTAGAATACTCTTCTCCCTAGGAAGAGAAGCCTATTTCTTTAGTGTGGTGTTTGCCTTTGCTTCCATCCCCTCCTTTGCTTTTGCCCCATTTTACATCCCTACATGGACAAAGGGCCGAGAAGCTCAGTTATGAATCCCACTTTTTAATTACATGCGTCGGGGAGGTAGGAAGGTGACAAGGGTAGGGTACTGGGATGGGACAATAAAGAGAGAACTCACTGTTTAACAAAGGGGCTGATGTACGTGTTTGTGCAGTAGAAAGAGAAAACCACCACCAAAATTATACAAATGAACTGGCCAAGACTCGAAGACTGAGGGCACAAAGAATGCAGTGTTGTGTTCCAAACATTACAAATTATTTTCTCCTTTACATAAGTCTTCACATTTCACTTCCCCTTTTTTTCTTTCTTTATTCTGCCACCACTTTTTGTTCCTTTGAAAATCAGTGTCCTAATCAGTCTTTTGTCAATCACACTCCTTCTTCATCTGTTCTCCAAAATCCTCACTTCCTTTGTTTTTCCTATGTCTCGCATGTTTGTTAAAAGCCTTCCTTATTCATTGTATCCAGTCAAGGCAGAGAATTGACTCTGGTATTACAATGGTACCACGTGAATCTATTCAAAATAACCATAATATTCTCTGTTACCGTATACTGTAAATCAGTACTGCCTTAAATGTGGGAAAGGAAGCCTATGGCATTAAAAGGGGACCATATTCTTTCTCAAAGTAAAAGTGATATCCTGTGCTCTATTCAGGAGCTGTTACTCAGGCAAAACTCTTGTTGATTTTAATGGGAATATAAATTGGAGTAAGGATTGTGGGACTGAATTCCTAAACTTTAATGTCTGATTTTTAATCATAATCCTTAAATGGAGGACTCTGAAAAAGTAAGATTCTTATCTGCCAATTGGATACAGGTTTTTGTTTTGAAGCCCATCAAGTTGATTGGAAAATGTTTAGCCAGTCCCAGAATGCTTTTCTTTGGCTAGTTTCAGATTTTGAATTCCCATTTCTATTCTCATTTTCCCCCATGGTATCTTAATGACTATCTTAGAGTGGCATGCAATGCGGGCGCATGCTACTGGTGCAGGCATGCTACTACGACATTAACAGGCTTGGAAAAAGAAAAGGAGGGGAAAAAAAAGCTTTAGCTTAGTTTTACAAAGATATTATGCAAAAATCCATTGAGCAGCACTAACTCACAGACGGATTACAAACTAAATTGTGCTATATATTAGTATAAAAACATGTTTTAGTAAGAATGGCACTGGTTCAAAAGGAATAAGGACTTCCATCTTGGTTCCTTTCGGTCCACAGTGAAAGCATTGAGATACAGCCCTGCCCTGTTGCCTGACCAACTTGTGACAATGGTTTGTTATTGGCCCCAACCCACACAATTTCTTCCCTTTATATCCTCCGATGCTGGTACATTTTGAAGGAACTTGAAAGCCAGTTGAGTTGTGGCGGGGGGTAGCCTGGGTCAGGTCTAGTCATCTTTCCTAACGTGGCACCAGAAAAGTTCTTTCCTATCCTCTGATATAGGTCATAAATTGAAACTTTCCTCTTCTAATCTTCTGTCTAAGCTGGTCAGTTTTAAGAATCCTCTTCCCCTGTAGATACCATCAGACGCATAGCGACTGGCAGGTGGTCTGTCAAACCTGCTAACTGTGTAATAAAGTTGAACTCTTCCACTTCCTGCAAAGGAACAAAAGGGGAGTGCAAAAATCAATGCAGGGTATTAAAAATGCACCAGGTTTAGATTTTCTACATCTCCTCCCAGTTTACTTTCTTAAGCCCCAAACCTGTCTCCCTGCTTCCATGGATGTAGAGGGCCCAAAGACAGTAGCTCCACTGTGCTAGAGGTGGAGTAAGCTGCCACAGAAAGCTCCAGGGGAGAGTAAAAAGAACAGGAGTACTTGTGGCACCTTAGAGACTAACAAATTTATTAGAGCATAAGCTTTCGTGGGCTACAGCCCACTTCTTCGGATGCAGGGGAGAGTGTAATCAGTGCTCTGGGGGTGGGGTTCTGTCTGCTGGAGTGCAAAGGTTACACCTGTAACATATATATACACCTACTGGATGAGACAGGTATCCTGTTTGGGGAAAAATAGCATGTGCTCATGTAATTCAAGACTGTCATAATGCATATACATGAGGTGGCTGAATTTAAGGCTGTAGAGACAACCTTGTCTGCTTAGCAACCTCAACCTTCTTTAATTTAACTTATTTTTTTTTTTTTTTTTTTAAGGACACAGGAAAAAACAAATTCGGTCATGTGTAACCATATTGATATCAGCAGGGTTAGAACTTTTAATTTATGTCAAAGACCTCTGCTATTTGAGGAACACTTGTTAGCACTAGTAAGTTGACAAACTCTTTGTCCAGCCACTAGAGGGAGATATGGTACACATTTTGCCAGTGGGCATCAAAGCTATTTGCTAGCCATAGAAGAATACTCATGAATCCTGTTTTCAATCCCAGATTCGGAGGAGTGTACTCTAGTTTATTACAGAGCCTTCTACCACTTGGCCCTCCAGTCTGTCCTTGTCCCAGTCCTCATCCCAGGCTCTCCCCTCTGAATTCAAGTCAAGCTGATTCCTCCTTCTCTTCTGTGCTACCCGGGCTTCAGCAGCAGGAGCATTTCGATATTCAGAGCACAGGAGACAGTCTCCCTGTTCCCAGTTCTGGACCCGTGTCACAATGGTCCCCAGCAGCCAGGAGGAACAATAGCAGGGAAAGTCCTGCTCAGTCCCCACAGCCCTTGGGTGATGCATGCCCAGTGCAGACAGAACCTTCAGACAGTTTAGCTGCCAAACTTTAATGAGTCTGTGAGCATCTGTGAACTGAGACTTTCAGAGGCTCATAATTTGGATAGCTGTTCACAGTGATGGCAAAAGGCACACCCCTGACCCTAACAACACTTCTTCCCCCCACGGTCAAATTACAAACTCCTGCGTCAAAGCATGGAGGAGCTAGCACTTGTCAATAAAATGGTTATGCAAATCCTTTAACCTGGACAAAACAAAGTATGTTTTCCCCTAACCTCAATCTCAGAAAGAGATGAACTTTGAATTCTTTTGGGAAAAAAAATCAGGCTGACATCTGGCACAGAAAATTTCAGGCCAAATTGACTGAAGTTTGGCAAAATTATAAGGTACCAAAAACATGGTCTTCTAATGGGAACTGTTGGAGCAACTTTAACTACTGAGGTCTCCAGGGATGCCCCCACAATTTTTCCCCATGCTATGCACCATCTCTCCCTGTGGAGCCATCCCCAATGCAGCTGCTGATCCCAGTGCTTCATCCACCAAATCTGTGCCACACTCAGCCCCCACCTTGCAGCCCGGCCTGCCCAGGTGCAGTGTCACTTCCCATCTCTGAGGAGGGACACAGGCTTCTGGAAGAAGGGGGAGGCTGGGCAGGCTCCATGTGGCAGGGAGCCCTAGTGCAGGAGCTGGCCCCAAAGCAGCAGTGCTGGTCACCCCTTTCCCACTCAGGTTTGGCTCCATTGCCTCTCTCTCATGATGGGGCAAATGGGGTGGTACAGCTGGGCCAAACTGGTGTTGCAACATGCTGCATAAGGTGTCACCACACAACTCAGGTTTGGCCCCACAGCCCCTACATTACGTGTACAGGGTCATAATGCCACTCAATTTTTAGCCCCTCCATCATGACGAAGGAGCCATAGGCTAAAATCTGAGGAGTGTTGCAACCCCTGTGCACTGTGGTCCCAATGCTGCTCACTTAATTTTGGCCACAAAGCCATAATTGAAGGGCTGCCAGGCCAAACCTGAGTGGGCAGCGGGGCTATCACTGACACTCCTCCTCACCACTGCCAATGGTACGCACTATGCATATGGCTGCGGGCATCATAGGATGCCACTATCTGCACCAACTATATAATTTCACAAAAATCTATGTGCAGACTTAATTTGGCTCCCTTGTGTGCATGTATGATGATAATATTTAAGTACGTGATCACATTTTTTTTCCCTTCTGCCTCTCTCAGTGGCCTTATAATGAGACGTTTCGGGCAGCCTTAAGAATAGGCAGCTTTATCAACTCTGCATATAGTATCACATAGCAGGTTTAAAATGACTCTGAGGATCTCCCAGACTCACAGTGTATTGGAAGTACAGTGTATTTGTTTTATCATCATATCGTGTTACACTGGCCAGGATATTCTATAAGATTTTACAAAACATTCAAAAATTGGTGACCATCAAATGAAAAACTAGAGAGTAATGCTAGAGGGCATAAGAAAAAGCACCTTCTGCCCCCCCAAAATTACCCCTGCCAAATTTAAGGCTGGAGGAGAAAAAAATTCCCATTTTTATTTTGTAACATCCTTCTACTTTCTAAGAATCTGTATGCAGTATTATCTGTATTACTGTAGCTAATAATAATACCACCCTAGAGGCCCCTACCAAGACTGAACTCCATTATGCTAGTCACTATATAAACACGAAGTAAGGTAGAGTAGAGGATGTACTCACTGGTGCTATGTGAGATATTAGAATCAAACCCATTTGAACTGAGCCTATTTTTGAGATCTGATGCATTCTTGAACAGAGCCCATGCTCATGGAAGTTTAGCAAACATTATCTTAGGTTGCTTAAACACTTGAGTAGCTGGTTAACCTCTTTACTCCACCCCACCTCAAAGGCACCTTCTCTTACTTCCAAGAAGTCCCAGACCGCCCAGGAGAGAGGGTCTCAATGGTGAGTTCCCTTTGGAGATGCGAGTTTGAATTTAGCCCTATGAGCAAATCTGCAGGGCCTTGTGTGCCATCCAAGCACTTTACATTCTGAGTTACAGTTCACTTCACTGTAAAACTCACCACTTTCCATTCCAGGTAGACACCCTCTTCTGTGTAAAGCATGTAGTCAATCCTCCTCCCACTGCCTTTTAGTGATGCCTTCCTCCCCTTTTGACTTGAAGAATGGTTCTTGCTGGTGGGATAGACCAGGTATCCTTTCCTCCCTTCTTCGCTTTCCAGCACCCTGGTTTACAAAAAACACAAGCCTGTTAAATATCTCCCAGCTCTACCCCTGTGAGTAGAATAAGCTATCATCAGAATTTTTATTGCAGCCCCCCCCCCACACACACACACACACATTGTGCTATCCGGAAGAGTCTACAGTGTAACCAGTAGCAGAGTGAAATCCATTGTTTCAGGCATGCATTTTACAGCATAAGGTTATATTAATCTGCAGCTGACTGAGGGGACAGTTCTGCTTGGACGGTCTCACAATGCATCTCAATACTGATATTCTACTATGTGTGTGGCTCTGACCCTGATGTCAATAGGAGTTTTGCATTGGGAAGGAAAGTAGAATATTGGCATAAAGATCCACCATGTGAATTTTGTATATGCAATTACTGCATTTGCAGATACCTGCAGGAACTCCATATGCAGGCTATCAAACTTAACTGGTCATCAGCATGTGCAATCATAGAAATTTTGAGTGTTAATTTAGGCATGCAGATATGTACACTTTTGTGCATGCACTCTTATGAAAATCGGGGCTAAAATGTTGAATGTAGTTGAAAATGATTTACTTTACTTACCTGCCAGAACCTGAGCTCAGAGGTCTGTGGTTTCCCTTGTAAAAGTTGATTACATCTTTAAACTACATCATCAACTGTTGCAGCAGAAACACTGAGCCATGAACTTGGGTCCTAGCAGGTACAAAGCCTTTAAGTTCATCTTGAGAAAAAAATGACATTTTGATGTCCTGGCTTTTTAAAATGATCATGAAAGGATTAAATGGGGGTGTGTGTGTGTTAGTGTTAAAGGTGACAAGCACAGGACTCTTATGAAATGATTTGAAGTTAGGAAGAGAAATAGTCCCTGGTTTTATCATCATCTCTCAAAATTCCATCCTTCAAAAGAATCTGACCTGGGACAAGGCAAGAACTGCAACACTTAAGAGGACTGTTTAGTTTTTTGGCGAATTGGGAGTAAATGCAAATTATAATTGGCTAAAGTTGATTCTTATAAGAAGCACTTTACCCACCTTTACAAGATGATAATCCACCATAACACGTTATGGTTGGCTATTAAATCTATGGAAAATAAATGTATTGCAGTTCATTTGTTTCCTCTGATTAATATAAATATGAATGTTCTGATAGTTATCTAAGCCCAGACAGATTATTTTTAGTAACCATCTTATAAAGGGAAATTTTCTTTCATATAGGATGTTTCAAATTTGGACGGTCATGTGATTAATTGTGTTAAATTAGCTTACTAGAACACGCTGATTCCATAAAATGGAGAGTAAGACTGTTCATTCTACAGCTTGTTTCTGAAAACGGTGCTCTTTCTGAAAGTCTCATTTAGATTCAAGAAAACGATCTGGCTCTAATCAAGCTGGCCTCCATTGAAAAGCAGCAGCCCACACAGACTTTGTTATTTAATTTGCACTTACCAAGTTGAGCAAAAGCTGCGCAGAGCTGGACCAATACTGCAACAAAAACCCAAACCCCACAATTTTCATCTGTGCAGTCACTTCATTTAAAAGATGACTTTGCTTGAGCTGCACTTGCGCCCCTTTTACATTCACTTCCTGTGCCCATTTCAGCGATTGAGTCATCTACACAAATGTTTATGGAAAAGGAATTTTCATCTCAAATACTCCAGGCCAATGAATTTTAAATTTTCATGCAAATTTCATTCTCTGTAAAATTCAGATCACTTATATGTGAGGGGCTGCTGCTTGACACAGCAGGTGCAGAGGGTGTATGCCATGGCACAGAAGTAGCACATAACTACTCCATGGGAATGTAATAAGTTATGCCTGGCCAATATGATATACACGTTATAGGGCTAATGCCTCAGATAAGACCTAGGACACCGAAAGGGTTTAAAAAAACCTTGAGAGATTTAATACCCCCAGGTGGCTTTTTTTAAAACCTTCCTGCCTATTACAAAAGTTATCACTCCTCCATTTAGAGCATGGAAACAATACCATGTGACTATAGTGGCCAATCACAACTAATAAAGCACAGCTCATTTTTAATATTTAATATCAGACTGTCGTCTGACTCCACACCTGCAAAAAGTATGATACGTGAGTGAGAGAATGTGATCTGGTGTCTGACATTCTGGAGTCAATTTCACTCCACCTGCACAAAGCTTGGGTAAGCCATCCCACAACCCAGGGGGGCAGGAAATTGTGCAGGCCCCACAGCCTTTCTGCTGCTGCTGTTCCAGCTTGTAGCATGGAATTGTGGGCCACACTCTCTCCACACAGATTGCTTTGGGGCCATTGAATCTTCATAAATGTAGATCTGAATCTCATCTCTTGACTGGTCCCTAATGGGGCCTTCTGTGCTGGACCATGGAGACCTTGTTCCAGTATAGAGTCCTGGTACTTCTGTACAACCAGTGAATACTCCACACCCCACCGACCTTGTGTGGTGCTTAAATGATGCAGATTGCCTTGTGTTGGCCCTCTGCATCAGGGTAAATTTCACCTTCTGTGAGAAGAAATTACTTGCCCTAAATTAAAAGCTCAGCTTTACAGCTAAGGCTCCTTCAAAATGGAAGTGTGTTTACATTGAACCATTGTTCAGAGGTGGAGTCCAAGTTGTAAAAGATCAATATCTACCTTATTAACTTGTCCCAGATTTACAGAAAAATTAGTTAATAAACAGCTTGCTCACTATTGATGCTTATTATATTCTGCTAATCAGGGGGTCAAGCTTGTTCTAGCTCGTATGATAGTTCCCATTACTTATCCTTTTAATAAGGGACAAGTCTGTGCTGTACCTTCATTGACTCATCTAAAGCAATTAATGATGTGATTTTATTAATAGACTGTAGGAGATTGGCATTGACTCTGATTTGCTGAACCGTTTCCCAGAGCTACCTATGCCAATATAAACAGTTTGTTAAATTGGATGGGTTTATGTCGCAGCCAAATTTTACTACTGAAGGATTTCTGCAAGCATCTATTTTAAGCCCAATCTGATTTGCCGTCTACATTAACAATATAAGTCGGACAGCTGGAAGCTCCTCTCCATCTTTATGCTGATGATACCATTTTAGATTCTCTATGCACTTCACCTCTATATCAGTTATGAATGAGCTTTGATTAGGTTTTTTAAAGCATTTTAATTAACTTTTACAATCTAAAATCATTAATGTAATGTGGACTCTAAAATTACAGATAAATGTTGTTATAAATAGTACCTGCAAATCACTGGCCAAGGCCTGAATCCAAGTTCCAATGGTTCCCTCCTATAGGGGATGGCCTCTCTAAAGCCTTAAATCACTTTCAGAAAAGCTATGAATGAAAATCCCTGTCCTCCTTTAAGGCCTGATTAAAAGTCCATTCAAGTCAATGGAAAGATTCCCATGGACTGCAGTAGGCTTTGGATGAGGACTTCAGAGGGTGAGGAAATTGCTAAGTCTTCCAGGAAAAGAGGAGCCCCGATGCAAATCTTAGCAGGTAAATCTTTCGTTTAATCCTGTAACAAAACTCCTGAACACCTTTTTTCAGTCATACTTTATTACGGTTGCACATAAAATAATTTCTAAATAGTTAATAAATGACAGATGTTTGAATAAATGGCTAATAAATTAAGAGTTCAGTGGATTGCTCATAACCATCTATACTATTCACTTATTCATGTATGTAACTAAGTATTAATCCTTTATAAACCATTTATCAATGTGACCCATGTTTATTACTAAATGCAAATAGCTCCTTTTTATGGTTGGGTTTTTTGTATATTTGTTTTTTATTTTAATAGGAACAGTAAATCTGTTAAATGACAAATTGTCCCAAAGGACCCCTTGAAAATTAATCCACAAAAATTTTAGGGAGCTCCAGTTTGTAAATCTCCATGCCTGCACTTGGAGCCATAAAATGGGGAATCACGTGCACATGCATATTTACAGTTGCAGATTTGCTTGTGCAGGCCAAATGGACTCCTCTTTTACTTGCATAAATGTCTTTAGTACAGGATAGTTTTGCATCTTGTACATCTGAATGGATGTGCCTGCAACTGTGCATGTAAGAGAGGGGTCATTTGGCCTGCTCAGGCAAATCTGCAAATGTAAATAGTTTTGTAGATTTTGGAGGCCTGTTGAAAAGTTTGCCCTTAATAACTGCTCCTGGCTACTTATTAATACGGTGTTCCTAAAACAGGCTACAGCTTATAAATTGTTGAATATAGGCTAGACGCAGATTTTATCTTTTAAAATCAGTAAGTTCCATACAACTAAATTTTAACTTAGTTGAGTTTCATGACTACCCTTGTTTCACATATTTAACCCAGTACCTATTCAAACAACCTTATTATCACCGTAGTATATTTCATTTATAGACTTCCAGAAATACCGTAGAAAGTACCGGTAAGTATGTTTTGATACCATGCAGCAGTTGGATCTTCTATACTTATTATGATTTATACAATCTACTAATGAAGACAAGATGGCCAAAGGACAAGCATGTGCTTGTCTGTGGGTATGTCTACACTACGGGATTAATCCGAATTTAGATAATTCGAATTTGGGAAACAGGTTGTATAAATTCGATTGTGCGCGGCCACACTAAGCAAATTAATTCGGTTTTTAACCACATTAATTCGGTGGTGTGCGGCCACACTACCCCATTAATTTAAACACAGTAATTCGGTGGTGTGCGGCCACACTAACCCTAATTCGAATTAACAAAATCGATTTAGGCGCTACTCCGCTCGTCGAGGTGGAGTACAGAAATCGATTTTAAGTGCCCTTTAATTCGAATTAACTGGCTCTGTAGTGTGGACGGGTGAAGGGTTAATTCGGATTAACGCAGCTAAATCCGAATTAAAGTCGTAGTGTAGACCAGGTCTGTTAAAGATGTTGCTCAGCAAAGTACTAAACTAGCATCAGAATTGCTTCAACAGTATATTATCTAAGCATAGGCCTCGTATAGTCCTTAAAGAAATGTCTCCTAAGGTTTCGTCAGCCTTTGGTAAGTGGTCTTTTGCAGCAGTGAGTTGGAACATGCCCAAGACACACAGCTACATCAAACATATCATGAAAATAAACTGCAAGTACAGGCCAGTACTGTTGGCTGATACTCCGCTTTTCTTTTTCCCATGGCATGTTTGATGTGATGATCATTTCTCCCCTCTGCCCCATTCATGGTTTACGTACAATGAACTATGGGAGCTTTCTACTACTATGACAGAATCTACATAACCTCATAGGGTTAGTCTGGGTTGAGTTTTAGTTCTTGGGCCAGTTATTTTATTCAGCTAGTTCCCTCATTGTTAGTACCAAGTCTGCTGGACTGGTCAGCTGTGGAGAGATCTTCAAACAGGCTGTGCTATGCCCAGTCTGGTAGCATTCAAAACTTGGTTTTATTGTCCTGTTCCTACAAACTGAGTGTATACATAGGTGTGAATTCATTGAATATTAACCAGCTTTGAATTTTGTAGTGCATGCCTCTTTTGATAATATGGTTAATAGCCACAGGGTTTGGAGTCATGATCCAAACTTGCCCAAAATTCAAGGTTGGTTAGACCCAGAGTTTACTTTGTTTCTACCCCCCCTCCACAGCCATTTTATTTTTTTAAAATGTTTTGGTGTAAATCTAGTGCTGGTTAAAGATGTCAGAGTGACATCTCTAGAATCTGAAGTTTTCCACTTGGCCATAAGACAGCATGACTCCCCTATCTGGCTTGGGCAGTAATACTATAGTGCTTTAACCTTTTATTATCTATACATATTTACATCATGCCACATTCACAGTATTCCTGCGGGTCAGGCGGGACCACCTCTAGAGATGCAAAGTCAGTACAGTGTCTAGAGTTAATTAAATCCTTAGTACCTCTGCTGCTATTGCCAAATCAAACGTAAGAAACACATCTCTCAAAGGCCACCAAACAGCCATCGGATAGTAAATTGTAGTCACTTATCACCTGAATTAAAATATTAAATGGAAAATGACAAACTAGCTTTTCAATGAATTGTCTGTAAACAGTGAAAGAGAGACTGAGTGCATACTTCTGTAGGTTATCTGGAGTGCACACTTCTTCGTCATACAATCCTTCAGGATCTAACAAGGTACCTGTGAACAAAAAGGAACACGTGACTAGCTCAGCATACCTATTGCTACTTGCACCTTGTGTAGTTAATTGTAGTGGTGCAAAGAGAGTGGAATCAGAAAGTGTTCCTTTCTGATTTGATAGCATTTTATACTCACTTTGCATTTGCTTTGGACAAGGGTGCTATCGGTTTAAGATATATCCTCCCTTCAGGGACTGTATCTTGCCCATGCAGGCTAATGCTTTTGATCTAATGGGACTCTTCCATTTCAGTACGAATGCAAAAAAACCTCCCTAATAGCAATGAGGATGGGAATGCTTGCACTCAGTTCCTCCACTCTCCCTCTTTCTGATTCTTAAATGTCTCTTTTCCCTTGCCTCCTGCACAGAACCCTCTGCCCCCCCTCACCCCCCCCAAGCTTTTTAAACCTTCCTGGCAAACTACCCAATCTGACCTACTCTAACCACTTCCTCAATCAATCAAATCAAGGTAATTAATTAAGTGAAACCACCACTCATAAGAACGGCCGTACCGGGTCAGACCAAAGGTCCATCTAGACCAGTATCCTGTCTACCGACAGTGGCCAATGCCAGGTGCCCCAGAGGGAGTGAACCTAACAGGCAATGATCAAGTGATCTCTCTCCTGCCATCCATCTCCAACAGAGGCTAGGGACACCATTCCTTACCCATCCTGGCTAATAGCCATTAATGGACTTACTTAACCACCATGAATTTATCCAGTTCTCTTTTAAACGCTGTTATAGTCCTAGCCTTCACAACCACCTCAGGTAAGGAGTTCCACAAGCTGACTGTGCGCTGCGTGAAGAACTTCTTCCTTTTATTTGTTTTAAACCTGCTGCCTATTAATTTCATTTGGTGACCCCTAGTTCTTGTATTATGGGAATAAGTAAATAACTTTTCCTTATCCACTTTCTCTACATCACTCATGATTTTATATATCTCTATCATATCCCCCTTAGTCTCCTCTTTTCCAAGCTGAAGAGTCCTAGCCTCTTTAATCTCTCTCATATGGGACCTGTTCCAAACCCCCAATCATTTTAGTTGCCCTTTTCTGAACCTTTTCTAGTGCCAGTATATCTTTTTTGAGATGAGAAGACCACATCTGTACGCAGTATTTGAGATGTGGGCGTACCATTGATTTATATAAGGGCAATAATATATTCTCAATCCCCTTTTTAATGATTCCTAACATCCTGTTTGCTTTTTTGACCGCCCCTGCACACTGCGTGGACATCTTCAGAGAACTATCCACGATGACTCCAAGATCTTTTTCCTGACTCGCTGTAGCTAAATTAACCCCCATCAGATTGTATGTATAGTTGGGGTTATTTTTTTCCAATGTGCATTACTTTACATTTATCCACATTAAATTTCATTTGCTGTTTTGTGAGATCTTTTTGAAGTTCTTCACAGTCTGCTTTGGTTTTAACTATCTTGAGCAGTTTAGTATCATCTGCAAACTTTGCCACCTCACTGTTTACCCCTTTCTCCAGATCATTTATGAATAAGTTGAATAGGATCGGTCTGAGGACTGACCGTTGGGGAACACCACTAGTTACCCCTCTCCATTCTGAGAATTTACCATTAATTCCTACCCTTTGTTCCCTGTCTTTTAATCAGTTCTCAATCCATGAAAGGACCTTCTCCCTTTTATCTCATGACAGCTTAATTTACGTAAGAGCCTTTGGTGAGGGACCTTGTCAAAGGCTTTCTGGAAATCTAAGTACACTATGTCCACTGGATCCCCCTTGTCCACATGTTTGTTGACCCCTTCAAAGAACTCTAATAGATTAGTAAGACACGATTTCCCTTTACAGAAACCATGTTGACTATTGCTCAACAGTTTGTTTTTCTATGTGTCTGACAATTTTATTCTTAACTATTGTTTCGACTAATTTGCCCGGTACCGACGTTAGACTTACCAGTCTGTAATTGCCGGGATCACTTCTAGAGCCCTTTTTAAATATTGGTGTTACATTAGCTAACTTCCAATCATTGGGTACAGAAGCCGATTTAAAGGACAGGTTACAAACCTTAGTTAATAGTTCCGCAATTTCACATTTGAGTTCTTTCAGAACTCTTGGGTGAATGCCATCTGGTCCTGGTGACTTGTTAATGTTGAGTTTATCAATTAATTCCGAAACCTCCGCTAGTGACACTTCAATCTGTGAGAGTTCCTCAGATTTGTCACCTACAAAAGCCGGCTCAGGTTTGGGAATTTCCCTAACAGCCTCAGTCTGGAGGCCGGAGCAAAGAATCCATTTAGTTTCTCCGCAATTACTTTATCGTGTTTAAGCGCTCCTTTTGTATCTCGATCATCACTCCTGTTTTTAAAGTTTTTCATGGAAGTGCAGTGGGCAAAGTAATCTCTAGTGTAACACAGTTGAAATCAGTGGAATTACACCAGGAATGAATTTTTTCTTAAGGTATGCAGTTTGAAGTGGATGTGAAAATGAAAACTGTGCCAATGGAATTGTTTAAGTACCTTGTCACAAACACTGATTTAGAACATCAGCAATTAATGGGGCTGGAAGAGTCGAATCATCAGCTGAATGCTTCAGTTTACATACAAATAGCTTGGTGTAACTGAGAGACTAGAATTGGAATACAGAGAAACCACAATGGTTCAGCTGAGTTTTAAAAGCTAATTTAAAAATGGCTAAACTGTGGCAGGGTACTTGAGTAATCTTATAAACTGATGCCATGTTCAATTCCAGCAGGGGCTGCATTTTGGTAGAAATCACCTTATCCACTATTTGGGTACAGTTTATAATACAATAAAGCACTCTGAGGCTTACAAAAGACATAACACTTTTAAACCACAGTTTGTAAATCTTTAGTCCCAACTTAATTGTTACTGCCCCTTAGTTATACCATATGCTGCCTGCAGGTGGTGTCTCAGGGCCATATAAGGATAAAATCGGTTTGAGACAAAACCTTACCAACTGCCCATGGTTTTTCTTCCCCAGGACCAAGCCGGCATGGATCTTTGTAGCGTGTAAACAGGCAGTGCTGCTGCTCCAGCTTGTCCTCTGCAAGGAAAGAACAAGTCCAGGGAAAGGCAAATCAATCACATAGTGCAAGCTTTAAAATGCAGTGCAAAAATTGGTACCATGCAAAAGGCAAACTTGACTCTCCGATCTGTCCCCTCCGCTCGTGCCCCTGGAAGGGAGAAGAGGTTCCTCCCATCACTCTGAAGCAACCTCTCTGGACAAGACTACAGCAGCACTAATTTAATTTGGAACCTGATTTCATTTTGGTTTCTAAGGTGATATTCGCAACATTCTGTAATGAATTTTAAAAAAACAAATAAACCAAAACTCACAATTGTAGTCAAGATTCTTATTAACCATGAGCTACATTTTATAAATTCTCTAAATCTTAGTCCTCAGATTTGACAAAAGCATTTCCTAAATGTCTCCCATTTATCACTAGTTTAATGCTAAATTGACAGCTGAAGGAACTGATGCCCCTTATTTATCTTCAAAACAGGTTTGATTGCAGGCAATGGGAATGTGGATTTCCCACCTTGCTTGGGTAATTTACATAACCCCTGTCCTGGAGGGACCAGTCTCCATGCCCTTTCAATTTCTAGTCTGCAAGACTGCCAACGGCGTACCAATTAGTGCCAGTTGTGGTGGTGGCACGTTTGAGGAACTGGGCTAATATCACCAACTCATTTCAACTGGCCCACTGAACAGACAGCAAATGATGACTTTTGGGCACTAATTACCTAGGCTGGATTTGAACTGGTGATCTAAAGGTGAAAGACCTTAGGCCAGTTGAGATTAATGGCATTAAAAATGTTACATGTATATTTAAAATCCTCCAAAACTGTAAATCATGAAAAATAGGCCACTTTCCTATCCCTGGTCGCCTCCACTCCCTCGTTATACTGCCTTGTTGCATCTTATCTTAATTAGGAGCCTAAACTCTTTAGGGCCAGATTTTTAAAGGTACTTGGGCACCTAGAGGTGCAGATAGATGCCCAATGGGAGTTAGGTGCCTAGTGGGGAATTTTTCAAAATTGCCTAGGCACCTATCTGCATTTTTAGGTGTCTAAATACCTTTTAAAAATCTGTCCCTTACTGTTACTATGCATTGGTACAGCACCCAGCATAATGGAGCCCTAATGTCATTGGAGCTGGTTGGTGCTACTGTATACAATTAGTTGTTAATATCCTATTCTCCACTGCCTGAACTCTCCAAATAATTGCCCCCGCCAACAAAACTCCACTAAGAACAAAGAGTCACTGTTGGAAAATAGAGCACTTTAAAACAGAAGAAAATGTATAAACAACAACAAAAGTTTCACTGCGAACTCCTGCCCATCTGATTTTTGGGAGTAATTAATGGGCCTGATTCTCCATTGCCTTTGGCTGTGTACTGACATAAATGACGACACAATGTAGGTGTTAAATGTTAGGCAGTGCAGAACTACACCCGCTGGCTTCATATTGACAGGACCGATGGTGAGCTGGGTATGTACATAGTCTCTGCAGCGCATTTGTTGAAGTTAGAAGCTTGTGGTATGACTGCCTCACAAGATGCACTGTTCACGAAACACTTAGGTTACATAACTGACTGAGAAATGATATTTTGTGTTGTGATATTGTTATCCTGAATATTAAAGTAGTCCAAATTACAAGCAGCATACCACATGCATTCTCAATGCTTAATTTCTCCAGGAACACAATTAGTACCAATTTATTTGCTTCAAGTCTAATAGCAAATATATGCCTCTAGGATTATTTAATGTAACAACAAACTAGTACTATTGGCACTGGATGAAGGAGCTAGGAGAATTAAAATTCAGGGTGTACTATTTATTATAGTAAATCTCATATCTAGTAGTATTTGCAGGATCAGACCCTCAAACTGAAAATACCAGCACTGCTGTAAATCCAATAATTTTTTTAAAAACCTATTAAACTGGCAGCGTCCCTTGATAATTTTCTTCTTTGCAGCACTTCCACCATTTTAGATTTTAGAATTTCTTATCAACAGTTCAAGTTCCCTTTAGGGATCCTTGGAACATTCACAAGTCCCTGCACTTGGAACTAATGATGTCATTTGTCACAGGCTATTGTCAAGGCAACAAAATCCATAAATGTGTATGAAAATGGACACACTCAAAACAAGGGAGGGGGAACTTCTTTGAAGTTTGAGCTAGATGTATCACCTAAGGACGACGTTGCCCTGCATCAACAGGAGCAAACCAGACCTGCTTCTACAGGAAAGCAACATCATTCTTGCCAAGGGATGATGTTGTGTGATTATCTCAATTCCAACTAGAAGGGGTCAGAAAAAGGAAACACGTGTTCAGTCTGTAGCCACATTCGTACTAAACATCCACTGCCCTGAGGCTGTTACAGGCTCTTACGTCATTGTATCTGTTTTGTCCCTAGCTATAGGGCCACAGGATCCCATTCTTGCATTTTGTTCAGTGTATCTTACTGAGCTGAGAACTGATACCTCCAGTTCAACTATTGCACCCGCATTGTCTCAGCTGCCTTGAAAGTTGCCGTCTTTAGAACCACAAGACGATTCTGGGGCTGAGGCTGTAATAAATTAGCAGACATATCTTGGAGGAATTGCAGAAAACGAGGTTATTTAAGATTTGACAGGTACACTTAAATCAAATCCCTCCTCTCTCAGCAGGTTATTGATTTTGTTCAGGTATTTTTATTTAAGGACCAGATGAACTCTGCAATTTTATTTCTTCAAGTTTTGCTCTGTCTCAGGGTTTCATATGCCTACAAACCTTCATTAGAGAAGCCATGGAAAGGAATAAAATTCTGTGATTATTAATCCACTACCATGCAGCAATTGTTACTATTCATGGCTGAGAGGTACAGCCTAGCCCCTCTCATTGAACGTTTTTTTTACCTCATAGCAAAAGGTTTAAAATATAATAGATTTCCATCAGAGTCAGACTACATCAGCCTGACATTAAAGACAGCCTTATAATAAAGTTCCTGATAACTGAGAATTCAATGTACTGATGTTAGAAGTGTGATAACTCTCTAGTACTAGGGTACAAATGACTTGCTGCAAATGGCCCTAAAACATGGGGTGACTAAGGAACTTGCGAATGTCAGATGGATTAATGGTTTAACTTTCAACAAAGAGTTAGAGCTGGATTTTCACGGGAGGAAACAAACTATTCTACAATTTCACAGTTTGTAAAGAAAGCTGGCGAGTCTAAAAATATTCAGTTAATTTTTTTCCTTAAAACCTTCCAGACTCTTTACAGTGCAAAATTGGTAAATACTGTATCAAGATTTAGCACTTAAAAATACAAAACCTACATTTTCAGTCTGAAGTACATTACCTAACAAAGATCTGTGACTTTTAAAATTAAAAACATTCCCCTGCAGAGTTGTAAACACAAACACTCCAGCATTGTTCTAATTTAATGCATGAGAACCAAAAAGTGAGACTGACTATAAATAGAAAATGAAAGTGATCAACTTAATTTCAACTTCCATTTCAAAAGTGCAAAATAGTAAACTGCATTAATAGCAAAAATAAAACAGATTTTCAATGCTTTTAATGATTTTGATTGTTAGTAACACATCTAAGAACAGCTTTTACCTTGTTAGCGTCCCCTTTAACAATGGTTACATTTCAATAATTTAAACCCCTCTGCAAACATGCCTACAAAAACTCAACCACTGTACCCCAGCTTCACAAGTATAAAAATATATTGTCAACCAAGTAACATCTGACACTTGGCTAAAATGCACATACTATGTTTGCTACATATTGTACAAAAAGATTATTCTAGATCATTCATTGGATGAAATGATCATGTTTACAAACCAGGAAGTTTCTTTATCTCATCAGAGGTCAGCAATTTTAAGATTTGAAGCAAAGCTACACAAGTATGTAAATAACTGAATTCTGATTGGATGTATCTGAATTCAGCTAAAATTGATTTACCTCTGAGCTAATAAAGCATAGGGAAATTTTTGCTTTACTAATAAACTCTGGTCAATAAATCTTGACTTTCAGCTCTGGAATGTTGATTCATAATTCCAGATGCCAAGTCAGAGTGTCTGCCAACTTCATGTTCTGTTCTTCAGATACCTTTCTACTCAACTTAAGGGTTCATATGAGATTGGAGATGCAATAACTAAATTGACCGTGAGCATTTGATCCAAAGCGGAGTATGATAGGTTATTCATCTCCTGAGAATCCTGACTGCCAAGTAGTAGCACATGTAAATATGAGACAAGACCAGGCAATGCAGGGACAGTTAACATTTTGAATTTTTAATTTGAACAACTATCTATCCAAACCAGATTAATTAACCTCGTCAGTGGTGATTAGCACTATATCGATCTCATCAACAGTTTCAAAAGAAAAGCACATTCAAAGACATGATATGAAAAAATAGTAGTTATTTTGGACTGTACAGGAGGTATCTTTTTATTTGACATAACTGGTACACCCAGCTTCATTAGAGGGGATGGATTCCCTATAGACACTAATATCTCCACTAAGCAAATGGGCCTGAACAGTGACTAAGAATCCATAAACCTGCTGGTCCTAAACTTTAGAGCCCAATCTGAACACCGAAGCTTGAATTTATCTTTAACCTAGCTGACTAAAAGCACAGTATAAACCAATATGCACAATAGAGAACATATTAAGAGACTCACGGTGCTCATGATTGTTCCTACCCCTTGTCTCACTGGTTCACACTCTGACGGTCCTAGTGTATCCATCTCTTTGTATGCCCACATAGTAGCAGTAGCTCAGATGTAGCCCTCTCCATGCCTTTTGCCAGCTCCAGGCTGGACTACTATAATGTGTTCTATTTAGGCTACCATTGGAGGTCATTTGGCTGCTTCAGCAAGAGCATTTTGCAATTACCTGCCTATTTAGTGGGGCATGCACACACGAATATACATCACCTGTGATTTACACTCTGTGCTGGCTTCCAAGCTGCTACTTGGTGGTGGTAGCTAGTATCTATAATGCTGGTTCTCTTAGACAACCCCTCTCCCTATACGTTTCAGATCAGTTGCTTTTCTAGAAAAGCTTCTGTTGTTTGGGCTCAGGGTTAAACTCCTTTGAGCAAGCAGCAAGACATCACTAGTAGACAGCCTTTGGTTCTGAAATTTGCTCTCCTACAGTCCAACAGAGTCCCAATTCACTTACTTTTGGAACATAATGCAAGACTTTTTTTACTTTGAATATTTCTTAATTTTAGAACATAATTTAGAGGGGATCCCGCATTAACAGACAGTAGTGTTAGAAGTTGGGATGGATTTTTTGATTTGTGCCAATTGCTGGTAATAATTGTTCTTTTTAATTTCTGTGGTATGCCCAGCTAGTGTAGTGATGAGCCAGTTGAAATAAATTAACATCCATTTATGTAATTGCCTATACACATTGTGCAAACACATACAGTTGCTGCCATTAAAAATAACATTTACTGTATCATGTTTGACTTTATCCTAGTGTGTGAGATATTCTTTACTCAGAATTCCACTGCAAATTTAACATCTGTTTGTAGTAAATGTCTACTTTTAATGGTGTCCTCTGCCCTCCATATATGGAATAACTTCCAAAAAATAAGTTAAAAGAATATTAAGGTTGCAAAGTCAAGTCCTTAAAGATAGTAAATGCCAGAATTAAAGTTGCCTTCGGAACATTAATTCAGCCCCCTTGTGCGTATGCATTATGATACAGTCTTTAACTACACAGTTATGTAAGATTTTTTCCACAGGTACCCAGTGATTATATGCCTGTTGATATATATTAGTAACTAGAAAGAAAGGGTATATAGGTGCCATAGTGACAATAAAAGTGCAGAGCAGGTAAGAGCTACCTGTCTGATTCTTTTAGAGTTTGGTGGAGACTGTCAAAGGCACAAATGATAGGACTGCCCTTTGTGCCTTAGAAATTTCCTCTTTAATGAATAGGCATCTCTTAAACATTGGGTTTGCCCACTCAGATTAACAATCTTTACTCCCATTTTTAAAAGTTTTTATAGCAATTTATTCTTATTTAAATGTGATTGCAAAAGCCATGTACAATTGCAGATCACTGCTCTAAAGCAGTTAGAGGAGATATTACAATACCTTAGTAGCTCACTGTGATGCTACGTATTCAAGAGGAAGTAGAAAAGCTTGTCTCACCAGATGAGCAGTTGTCAAAGTTGAGATCTCCACAGATCACATCAAAAGCCACCAGCTCCTCTGGATTGGCTGTGCTGGAGGAGGAGGTAGATTTTCGGAAATCAGCCAGCCAATCTTGAAGCAGATCAAGTTGCTCACATCGAACTGTAGTGTCTCCTATGGGAAGCACAATGTGAAAAAGCCTGAGTACAAGGGAATGTGCTTAAAACACCATTTAACTTTACAGATAGATACTCAGAATGCTGCATTCCTCTTGTGCAGCTAACAGACATTGTTAGGGACATAAAGCAAAATAGGCAGGAGGGAGATAAAAAGAATAAAAGCACAAAACCACTCCAACCCCTCCTACCCACCCCCTCCCCAAACAAGCCCTTGTATTGCATTTTTTCCCCTACTGCATGGTGTATATTTAAACAATTTGGGGCAAGGAATATCTTACTATTTGTATGTAAAGTGGCTGGTATTGTTTTGGACAGTATAAATAAAATTCATCCTCTGTGCAGAGACCTTGCACGAGGCCTACACACTGCGTAAGTCCTTGACATAAGGTTGAAATGGGACTTAAATAGTTTGTAGACCTTCTGCTGGCTCTCTGCACGGGGTGAATTACACTCTCTTTAAATGTAGGTTTTTATATGTAATTTGTATAATGTTAAGGTTGCAAAGTAAAGCATTCATAAGTTAAGAAGTTCTAGAATTAAGGTTGCATATGCATTATGATACAGTCTTTAATTACATGATCACAAACTATTTTGTCCACAGGACCTCCATTCCATTCAGTGCTCAGAATGGATGGTCAAGATTTCATTTTATACTCATTGTTTGATATGAGGCGAACCATTCAAACCCTCCTCGGACTACAGAATTATAAGTTTCCCCAGGGGCTTTACTATGGCATGCACCACTGTAAACACCATGGATGGAGAAGAGCTATTTAAGCTATACGACAGCGTTGGCACAAGAACAAATGGCCAGGAATAGGCTGGAAATTAGAAGAAGGTTTCTAAAATCAGAGTAGTGAGGTTCTGGAACAGCCTTCCAACTTGAGTAGTGGGCGCAAACAACCGAATTAGTTTACCCTAATTGTGAGCTCATCTGTGAAAAGTGAATGAAAATTAATAAAAAGGTTCAATAACCTAACAACAAATGTTGGTGGGGAAAGGTGCAAAAAAAAAGAGAGACTAAATCAGTCCAAACAGAAAGACCTACTGACGTAATTCAAGGACTGTTATGAGCATGCCAGATAAACAAGAACAATGCGAGCCCAGAAATCAATGAACCAAACTTGGTATCAGAAATTAGGCCTGCTGGTGGACAAAATAGTGGGAGGATGGACTATTCCGCCCTTCACTCCCTTTCAGGGTCCTTAAAATAAAAGAGGCTTTGAGATCAAAGTTGTTATAGAGGAAGTGCAGGGGGACAACTGCTGACTAAAAGAAGGGAAAAGAGCAAGCTTTACTATCATGGTTGCCACCTTCATTTATCCTTGAGATCCACTGTAACATCAGTGGGCCTTCGTAGTCTTGATCCCAAGAGCTGTCCTTACCAGACCGAGCTAACAGAGGGACGGATGACATTGCCACCTCCACCAGTTCTGGCTGAATCTTGACTGCCACCAGGAATGTGAGACTGTCACCTGAACCCAGTGTGTCTTTTTCCTTCCCCACCATTTTTCTTCTGTTTCCTATGCTTCTCGTTTTGTCTTCTAACAAGAGTCTGGCTTAGCCGGCCAAGACTGCATATTTTGCAACATTACTGTAAGCCTGTGAGCAGAGAGGGAGATAAAAGCAATCCCCTAAACAGCCTGATGCTGGTATAAATCTGCCAGTTCTTGTAGTGGTTGAAAAGCCTGTATGCTGTGCCCATGTTTTGCCAGCAGTGAAGTTGTAATTGAGAGTAAACACCAGAGAAAGAACCTGCATTTTCTTTCTTTCTTCTGCTTGTGTGTGTGTTTTGTCTTGTTTTGCTTTCTAGGAAACAGGATCGAACTTTAACAACAACGGTAGCTCCAGCCCATCTCAATTAACTTTTTTCCCACCCCAAAAGAATACCCTCTAAGGGGTTTGTTCCTTCTAAAGACTAACTTCAGAGAAAGGGAAAGGGAACAAAGGATGTTGTTAAAATAAAAGCCTTACTTAATATGTTACATTTCAAATGCTTTAACTGTTTTTTCTTCATTTTCTGTATCTTTAATAAAAGGTTTAAAGGATTTTTAACTGTGTTT